ACGTAAAATTTGGTATCTTAGGCATGTGTTTTGGCGATATCGAAAGATTGAAATAGTTTGTGAAAAAAATGCGCTTTTTTAACGTCGTTGTGAAGCAAACGGTTATGAGTTATATGTTGCTTGATAGGTAGACTAAAAATGGCATCCGTTTATTTTTATATTGTATTTAATATTTTTTTACCCGTCGATCTTATTTTTGATATTAGGCTCTTTAACCGTTGGTAATAAAGGACAGACATCTATCTAGTCTGTATCGAGTGCAAATATTGTCCAGATAAAGAAATTTTTTGTGAAGTTAATTATATTGTGCGTAATGGTCCGTAGAGAAAATTGGACCGGGCACCATCGTCCAAATACTTAATGCTGAGATTTGGCGACAAAAAAAAAGGGGAAATCTGTGTCACTTGTGAATTGAAAAAAAAAAAATGTGATCAAACCTATTCCGCTAAAATCGAATTATCCAGTCGATGGGCCTTGAATCCGTTCAATCCGTTTGCAATAACCAAACGTGGTCCGCATTGTTGGGTTCTAGAAAGCAGCTATCAAACGTTGTACCCGCAAAAGCTCAACGATGATAATCAAGCTAGAATCCGAACAAGAATCAGCTTTAGAAAACAATTCTCAAGTTTTTGAGAATAGAGTAAAAGCGTTTTGAGATGAAAAATAGTGAGAGAAAACTAGGCAGGACAAAAAGATGCCTGAATTGCGCAATCAAGGCGCTTGGTGATAGGTTAGGTATACCCACAGTTTTACGAGGTGATCTTAGTGCAAAAATGAATTCTGGTAGTACAGCAAACTAGAACGAAGGAGCCTAGAAGATATTGTACACCAGTATAACAAGATAACTTGAAATCTGACCAGAATTTAGCTAGAAAGGTGTATGTTAGAAGAAAGCACAAGACGACGTTTAAAAAAATATTTACCATACGAGCTAGTGGTTTTTGAAAAAAAAAGCAGGTTATTATAGTGAGAGAGTCACTTAGAATAAAGTAGAAAGGCATAGGAAGAGGTTTGATAGATAGTTAGGCTTTACAGAAGGAATCAACAGGAAGATATGTAGCGAGAAAGAAAAAAAGTACTCTGTTATGATGTAGCAGGTCTTGACCAGTAGCCAGTGACGGGCCTATCAAATCATAACAAATATAGCCTATGACAGGTGGCGGACTTACAGGTGATGATCTTCGACATGATTGTTTAAAAACAATTACCTGACTATGTTTCGGTAAAGGAGGATAATTTCGAAAAATCGTAGCCGAAAGCATTACTGCAAGAAGCACGAACTAAAGAAGCGAAATATGCCTTCAAATAAAATCGAAAAGACAGAAAATGGCTGACATAATACACTTAGCAAAACATAGCAAGAAAGGTTAGGAACACTATCACGAGTCTAAGACCATCTCTACGTCCCCATGTGCTAGAAGCTTGTGAGAAGAATTCTTTTTAAGTTACTAAAAGAAAGTAAATTATCTATTAATATCTGATAAGGCAACTAAGTCCAACAGGATTAATTACATACATAAGTACACGAGCAATATTCCTGTGTCTTAAGCACATAAAAATACGTGAAACCATTATAATCGTTAATGAAATATTGGTGTGATGTACATCGTAAAAAATAAGTCACGTTATTCAACTCAATCGTTCGGGAAAGCCTAAGGCAATATTTATATTTTACACAATATAACAATATGTTATTGAATTGCATGTTAAAATGCGAAAAGTTAAAAATTAGAAAAAGCACTATTTAATATATATGTACCAAAAAGTTGTTCAACGAGTATGATAACGGGTCTCCATTTAGTAGTGACAGCAACGTGTTGCTATAGGACAATGTTGTTCATTTTTCTGAGCATGAATTAACAATCCCAGAGCCAACCTAGTAAACGCCTGAATAGTAACGAGAAGAAAGTAGATTTTTTGCATTTTCCTCTGCTCTATTGAATTTAATTACATTATAGATATATTGTGCTCTAGCAATCATTCATTTGTATTCATCCGTTATGTAACGGTACCAACGACCCGTAAACAGTCCTAGCACGATCATGTAACCCTCTATTATTGATGGGAGGATGGGGGATACAAGCCTACTGTGTCTTTCGACCATCTCGCGCTTCCTATCCTCCAATCTTTAAGATATCCTATCTTTGTTCAAGGAGTTAGTGATTAATAAAAAGGGGTCGAATGTTAGTTCGTTAGGAGTTAGTAGTTGGCTGACCGATGCAGCATTATAGAAAGTATTAGAATAGGTACTATATACCAGTAGAACTCTGTGTCTCCTTGTTTGTTCGCCTATCTGACCCGAATCGACCGTTATTGTGGTCGCATTGGGCTGATGTTTGTTAATTTGCTAGAATTTTTTTTACAAATATATGAGAATGTTGTATGAAAGAAAGAGAGGTTGACGTAGCTTGCAGTTTGGTAGAATTTTTGCGCAAACATTTTTTCAACGGCAACCGTATGTTTACATGGAGATGGTCTATGTAAAGAGATACCAGTTGAGAGCTTTCACCGAGTTTAATCAAAATCCAATACATATCTCTATGCCCGAAATTTTAGATTTGATGCTCTACGCAACGAAATTGTTTACTGACGACAATCGATATATCTCAATGAGCTGAATAAAAAGCAAATGTATATAGATATACCGATATTTAAAACTAACATTTTTGGGTGGAAAACCTTATTGGCTTCGTCAACTTGCCTATGCAATAATGGGGTGAAAATGCATTTTTAGCGATCATTTTAGCCAATTTCTACTAAGTGCCAATTAGGAAATTGCTAATGTAGAGTTGATTTTCGTGGAAACATGTTTCCTACTTTATTTGTGGAGAAAATCCAAATAGTAACAAATGAGACGCAAATAAAAGAATTAAATGATACATAAATAATTCTGGGGTTTTGTGACGCTTCAGAAACAGAATCAACATGCCACTTGAGGCACATCATATATCTGTGTTTTCATTCGGTATAATTAGTTAAGGAAAGAGCAAAAAAAGACTGGGGTGGTTCCAAAAACAGAATTGATATTCGTTTAGTAGAATATGTAATTATCTATTATGAAAAAGATGGAAAAAACTTCTCGGGGCACAGAGAGTTAGCTGACCCTATCAATGGCCAAATCCATGAAAAATCGGTTCAAAGCCGACTCGATCTATATACGTTTCTCAGCTATCGACCGACCCTTTTCACGAAGCTCCCAAAACAGAGCCAATCAGTAACATTAAAAAAAGCCTTGTAATTACATTATGAACAAACTAAGAAAAACCAATATATCGTAAGAGAAACAAATCTTGGCTTCTTGGAAAACATATTAGAACAGGATGGTGTGATCATTATAAAACAGTAGCGAGTTAGGTGGAGCAGCGTAATTGCATATTTATTATAGTTTATCTAAGCTAGAATATGACATCAATAAATCAGGTAAAATAAAACATAACAAGTGTAGGGCAAAGCCCACGGATTTGCGTAGTGTATATATACTTTGGGTAGAAATAAACCCAATGAAGACAACGGTGCACTCGTTTTTTGTGTGTATCTGCTTCTACGTGACGCTGTGCAATTTTTAGAGCAACCCTCCATTACGGCTCATTCGTTGTGAAACGTATATACGTAAAGCACTTCAATACAAGAACTAAAACGACACTGAGTGCAGGTAAGAGAAGGATTTTTGGCTTGGTTTTATTGTATGTTACCTCGGCAATCTCTTAATCCCACACTCCGCATCAACCTACATCCGCCCAGTTCAGTCATTCGTCTTCATTTATCGTTAATCCGAACAAATGCTCCGCTCTCCGTTCCTTTTGTTGTGGCTGCATTATCTAACGATTCGTCGAAAAGTGAAGCAAAAAGTCCTAAAAAAAACAAAATATACATTGCTTTAACTGTTAAACCTATTCTACTTTCTAAAAGGAAACCTTTTTTTCGAGCCGCAGGATAACATCTTACCGAACTATTGGCGTATTTTGCCTCTATCCCCGAAAACAGTCAGCACAACAAATCATTTTCATCAAAAAAGATTTTCAATCATAGAAGGACGGTTTTCTCCTTCAGCCGTGATACGCAAAATGTAAGGATGTTTTTCGATAGGTTTTATATGGAGCTCAAGAACCGAACATATCTACAAGCTTGAAAAAATGCTTCCTTGGCTATACATTTAACGACAGTAACTTTGCAGTGGTCATAATTAAAAAATTGTTACAGTTCCAAGCTGTCATGTGGTAATCAGTAGGTAAGTATGATGTGTCGCAAAATACCGGGACTATAACATAACATTTTAAATACGTTACCATTTTTGTCTTACTTGGTGATCTTCCGACCATGATAGAGAAATCCGTAAAGATCTCTTAGAGCCAATGTCTCAAATCCTATGCGGTCTCAGCGCACTTTGACGACTGTTCGATCTTAAGGTTCCATCTACTATAAGTGCTTAAACACCCTAAGTAATACTGAAAAATAATATCATCTACAATCGAAAAACTACGAGGCTTTTTAGTTACGTTATGCTATTGACTGTAAAAATAAAAACCGTGCTTACGCGAAAACGGTCTATGTAGTAAATAGTCCTGTTTTTACGATGGTCTTATCATTCTGATTCTTGGCTTCCGCAGTGTCAAATACGAGCCTCCAGCAGCGCTTCCAGCTAACTATTCAGTTAGCTAGAGGCGCTGTTGTATATCCTTAGGTCAGCCAAGACCTTTGCAAGAGAATCGTACCGTATTAAATTAAACGCCTTACATGCATTTACGTTTTGACGACTACATATCTACCATTAGCGCTGTGTTGGACAAGCGTTAGTTGAGGTAATGTTGAGTAAACTATTCTTTGTGCCGACGATACTAATGTCACAGAATCGAAATTCAGCCGAGTAATTCGAAATTCAGCCGAGTTATTCGAAATTCAGCCCGGACCGCGAGGACACGACACTGGTGTGCTGATGCTTAGTTTCGAACAGAGAATTATTAATACGATCAAACGGGTGCTTTTGAAGAGCCGCCCTACGCTTATGAAAAGATTGCTAAATTCGATCTATTCGTATTTAATAGGCTTTACATAGATTAGATTATACCAAAAAACTTGTCTTTATAGTAATGCTTGCACATAAGTAACAAGTGCGCTTAAAAAAATCTAGAAATATGTTGTATAGCAAGCTGAAATGGAGAACTTTTTGAGAAGTTCTATGAATATCAACTGAATATTGAACCTAGACCTCATGGTTGTGAGTGCTGCTTCCTGCCTGATCACCTCACCAGTTAGGCCAACATATAATACAACACTGCAAAAATCAGGTCAGAATTTTATATACACTCGTACGCATACTTAGTATGATAAATATCATACGTATCGTCATACTTAAAAAATTCATCAAAGCATTGGATGTGGTACAATCAAAACGTAAAAGGCGAGTATCAATAGAGTAAAATGTGGCGCGAGAATTGGCTGAGATGGTAATTTTACATTAATTCTTTAAAGAGTAAATCTTTGAATATATGGCAATTTCTAAAAAGACAATTTGCCTGGCAAATAATTCAATATACTTTACTATGTGATTTACAATGTAAATAGCGCTTTTATTAGAAGGGGATAGCCCGATACAACTGAAAAGATGGTAAAATAGTTCCAACCTTGGCAGTAGCTGAAGCGGAGTAAGTAATCTGCTTGCCTGACGTATGTCGAGGTGACTTATAAAATGACCAAACTTACGAATTATATTATATTATCCTCCAAGGTTATGTAAGTGAAAATAGCAAATTTTGATCATCACCCAGACACTAGTGCTAAGATACCTAGGTTTTAGTTTCTTTACTAATTTCACTTCTTATTCTCTTAACTTGCGAATATATCTCGTATGGTACATATGTTACACTCAACGTCGACAACCTGGCTTCGTTCTAACCCTGTCTGTAAGTTGTTCACAGATAACTTCCAATGTATGGTGTCGCCAAATATACCCAATATAGGAAAGCCAAAAAAGCTTGAACGGCTATTTCTTTTGCACGAAGTGTCTGATTGGTCAGATCTCCTAGGGAAAAATCGTCGCAGACACTCGACTCACTTGAGTCTGTAAAGCTAGCGGAACGATTCATAATCCCCGCATGTAAATGCCTCGCAAATCGTGCGCTTCCCTTTCCCAGTCGTTGCCATCTGCGCCTGTCTGAACCTGACGTAAAGCGTCAAGCACGTATAGCCGCATCCCAGAGCAGCTGTGGGGCGTGTCTTACTGAGGCAGTCATACGCTAGGTATATTCACATTAATTTACCCTTGGTAGCACTACTGTATTTATTTATTTATTACCATAGTTTTTATTCATTAGTGAAAGGTTCAAAGCAAAGCTCGTTTACTCTCATCTATAGTTTATTTTCTGTTGTCTTTTTTAAGGTGAAGTCAAAAGGGACAGCTTGCAAATTTCTATCATAAAGCTTAACAATGGAACCTGGATGGACAAGTAAGCTAAACTTCAGTTATTGTTTACAAGTTTGCTCAAGTTGATACCCTACCTAAGTAATCATTTCGTTATCGATCAGATGCATTTTCCCTGCACAAAATGAGTGATACGATTCTGTTTTAGAACAGTATTACGTTCTACCTATCGAAAGAAAGCCCATTGTTAGCTACTTATTAAAAAAGGTAATCCATTCAATAAAACTGGACCTTAATTAAACACTGTGCTGTAGTCGCGAATTGGTACCATAGTTATCTATTCATTCTATCTAATGTCAGCAAGAATCACGTTGCATTTAAACATATCGTAAGTCAATGTTACGCTATGCAGTGAGTCAGATAGCTAATTTAGGGTTTACACACTGGCGCGTACTCTGTACAACGGTGGCCATTAGTTCTTATAGTGGTAGAAGGTTTTGGGTCCTCAAGTCATTAGTGGTGGGTTTTCAAGCCATTCACGCTACTTTAATTCGTCTGCATGATACTCGCCATTAGTGAAAGAGGCACGTCAACTTTGATTGGCAATTTCAAAGGGTATGATAACCAGAAATCGACAAACACAGATTTAATTTCGTAATTGCGAGAACCATTTGATTCCGGTCAGACAAAAGCCTTTCACGATGTCATGGTGGAACGCGTCACTCGAAGCCTTACTGCTTGCCAGGATTTCGCTCAGACTGCTATTGAAAGCATTGCCAGTCGTACCGTCGGTAACCAATTGTAGCTAGTAACAAATAGTCTTCTTTTCCTTGAAGTATCTTCCCATAACGATGGCTCTATTGGACTATTATGTTTTTCAAGGATCACAGTTGAGGTTTTTTCAATGCCAGATTGTTGAGACGGCACCTGATCGAAGGCACTTCTTGAACTGTGCAGTCTAGCGCATGATATAAGAAGTCGCACCTAGCTCATATGCTCATTTTTATTGAAATCGTAGTCCAGATCCTTATTGTTGGAGGCTTGTTGCCATTATTTGGAGGGGCACGCATTAGTTTTCTCTGATTATTTCGTTATTTAATGCCGTAGAGACAAATAAGAAATCATGTGGCGTTTGGGGTGTAAGCTAGACATCTATTAAAGATAGCCATTGAACACCACGGCATTGAAAGAAAAAGTTGTCAACTTGTACGAGAATCGTGCATGTTCTTAAATCTGTATGCCTTCGTAATGCCTAATCGATATATTTCTGTTAAATTTGTAGCTTTTCTTATCGACAACGGAATGCGACTAGCGACACCTTGTAGCCAGATATAAATTTGCCAGGAAAATCATCGAATTATACAGTACCTGTAAACCTTGCCACTCTCCCAGTGGGCCTTGATGGGTAAAACTTGGCCTCCCGCTCTAGGCCAGAAGAATTTAGGGGATTGGCCTAGAGCATTCAAGATTCAAAAAACCTTCCGTTTCAATAATCTACTCTTAGCTATCCCTTCTATAACAGGCCTCGGTACAGCTGTTTAGCATTGTTTCAAGGACCTGTTAGGTCATGGGAGGTCAACACGAGTAATCTGGAAGGATCGAGCAAGAGAAGAAATTGTGATGACGACGTCATTCAAATCTTTGCTGGAAGTATTCAGATCTTTACGTGAGTCTACGCTTAGTTCAGATTATGTTGTCACTCCTCTAGTTCGTACGCCATAAGTACCTTGTTCGCACACCATTACTGGGAGGGAACCCATGATCCAGTACTTGAAGTCTGCCAAGGTGCCTATGAAAGACCTGGGTGATGAAACACAGAAAATTCGAAGTGAGCTGAATGAGGCGGATCGTCTTAAGGAAAAATTTAGTGAGCCTCTGTAATCATGGCTACCCAGGTTGTATGTTTGCTAAATCGGGACAGCGTATACTTCAAAGGTGTGAATTATTTAAAACTAAGTGAAGCGTAGAAGAGAATAATAATACGGAAAGGAAAAGGTAATATTTAAGACTTGGTGAGACAAACATCAGTTAAGCGTATTATACATTAGATACGCGGCCGTGCTTAAGTTATAAATCGATGCAGCGAGAGCCTGGCAAATATCGCGCGGCTTATGCTTCCCCTCGCATCTTGCCCCCGCCCACGATCTGTCATCATCATTGCTTCCTCGTCAGTAGCCAAAAATACACTATATGAAGGTAAAATTCAAAGAACTAGTTGCAAATTGACTTAGCGTGAAACTTAAATTATGAAACAAATGCAAAGAACCAATAATTGTTAGCTTGATCGAAATATCCTTCGTTAAAAGCAAGATATATTTTCAACGGTACGAGACGACGCCTTGTAAGCAAAGAAATCTGTACATTAAATAAAAGCTTTGTTAGGTATATATCCTCAGAGACTTAGCTTAGAGAGAGAAGCTCTCATTCGATCCTACTCGATAACTTACACTTTTGTTAATGTCCAAGTTTCAACTCTTTATGCGCGAACTTACCACAAAGTGGCAAAAGGAAGCGAACGGAAATAACACTCAGCGAGCCTACGATACGAGTTGATCGATTGATTACTTAATCATCCAACAGGCATAACGTGTAGCTGAGTTTTATGAAAATTTGTATTTTATGAAATGTGACATATTTGTTTTCTGTTCATATCGATCCTGTATACAGTGTTCTTTGATGTAACAGCTTTATTATTATATGTGACAGCGCTTTGATCCCTTCTACAATGTGAACATTTATAGTTTTAGCTGGTCTCTACTTCATTCCCTTGAAGCTATAGAATATCTTCATAATATATGCTGTTGCATCAGCGGTAGTAAAGCCTCACAACACATGTTTAAATCTTTTACTCATGCCACTTGCCATATATAGTAAGTCGCTCCCGTAACGCACTGGCCATATATAGCGGGCTAGAAGAATTTTTTTATTCCGTTAATAGTGTCCCATCCAATGCCACGATGCTCTAATCAGCCATCTCTTACTTGTATCGCTTACTCTTTATCCAGGAACGACGGTCTACCAGCGACGCTCTGAGCGCATGTTATCTTGATGAAATTGACAGGTCGCGATAAAGCCATCCTGCTCACGTGCTGTTGCCGTTTGCGTTCTGAGGGTCGGAATAAAAACTTATCTCGAAATGAATTATTTATCGAGATAAACTTGCACTGCCGTCCTCATTGTTTTAACGAGGACCGGAGCCACGCATGGGGGCATCATCAAGCAGATATCGCCACTTATTTTCATAGAAAGTTGTTAGGTCTCAGTCCATAACGTGATCCCACAATGGATGCGAACTGTAATGCACATGAAACGAGGGAATAAACAACAACAACGACTGCGTGCAGTCTATACATCTTCTATTCGTTGAAACGGAAGAAACTAGTTACCCTAATTAGTAGTCCCCTTCTGCGGCAACAAGTCAGCAGCCCGTCTTCCTTTGCTTCTTCCTCGTCGTTTTATAGGGCAGAATCGGTGAAGAAGGAGACGTCAGTACCAGACCAGAACGCACGTATGTGTACTCCATTCTTAACTTGTTAACATTTTGAGAAATCCCAGTCATTTACAACCTCATTGATGACGCTTAGCACGATTCGTAAACGCTTGCGATAGCTCGTCAAGCCGGTTTTTTCACAGAACCTATAAGGGCATACCTGTTATCGTCTGGTGGAAAGCACAGCACCTAGTTTAGTTCTTCATTCTGTGAATCTGCGTCACTAGTATATATTTCCTCGTTTACACGTTTATTGTTTCAATATTTGAGTAAGCTTGCAGCGAGCGATAGTCTGTAAGCTGTTATGACGAGAATGCATAAAAAAATGGCAGTGTGTAAATAAATCAACTAGATAAATAAACTAGTAAATAAATCAATAGTGCAACTTTTTTCCGGATCTAAATTGTAGACAAAAAGTACACATGCCATACAATCCCACAAATCGTATTAGGCTAAACTGACAATTCCAGCTTTATGGACATTCTTTAATTACAATGCATAAACTAATCGATATTAACGGAACAGGCCTACTATGGTTTACTCTACCCTCTTCTATCACTTACAGACAGACATCATCTAAGCGTCCTTTGTACAGGACTCGTGCAGGTAGATCAAAAGGTGCTGCCAGTACTGCACTAATATATTAATACGACGCGTACCAATAACATATCAACCTCTGTATATTTTCGTCGCTATACAAAAAGAAGAATATATTGTACTTGTGCCGGTACTACATTTGCTAGTAGCGAAAGAGGAAAGGGTTGGTCAAAGCTAAGTTGCATCAACATGAGGATTGGTAAGATAGTCGGCTAGGCTGCATGTTGAAGCTCGTGGTGGAACCTCTGACAGAAGGTGTAGAGGAAGTGCAGTCTTGCCAACGTTACCATTTCTCAACGACCTGGCCAATGGATTGGAGGCAGTGGCAGGCGTTTACGGCTGCCACATAAGCGCTTGCTGGAGCTTCGTTAGGAACCCAGCAGTAGGTCAGTCTTCTGTGCCTGCTGTGGTGCGTCATTTCCGTCTCAAGACTAATAGCAACCAGATTAGTATGGCGTGAAACAACAAAGCACGGGCATAAAATTTCCGATTATTTTTTTACGGAGTTGAGAGACTTTAAGGTTCGTATTGATGCAGAAACGGATGCGTCTAGGGACATACTCATCAATATGCTCATGTTTAGAGTCAAACGGAACACTATTGCGGATTACGCCATCCCGTGTTGTTACGCTTTCTCAGGCTTGAAAAAGCGGATATATAGGTATTCGAAAAACTGTGTAGCATATAGTATAGTGCCGTTATAATGGTTCTGAATATATGCATATATAGGCTAAAAACGCGGCTGGCTAAGGAGGCAGGATGCGTGTGTACGTAAGCCTGCACCCATTCAGGGGAATTTGTAATTAAACAGGCAATAGGTTGCGGGGAATGTTGAGATGCATAAGCAGAAGTCTCACTGGGCATGGTCTCAGCAAACGATAAAAAGTTCCGGTATGAGCAAACAAAGCGAGCCCCGCAGCGCTTGCAGAAATGTTGTGAATGATCAGACAACCTAATTCAGAAAACCCTGGATAACTGTCAATCGTGTGCAACCGCATGCCTGCAGGATTGGCACTAGTTCAAAGAACGAATGGTCCAAGACCGTATGTTGAGACACAACCGCGGTTAACACCTCAGTGTTTCTTCGCATACTAATAATGTATTATCTTTTTTAGTTTTTTTTCCTGCTATCACCATATAAAAACAAGGTATTGCTCGAATAAAATACGTTTGTACCGATACATCTACAGCTAAACAAAATAATGGCCTGATATTTAAGACCCACACATACTTTTGGTCCGTTGTGGGTTTTCTATTGGTCTATGCTATCTACTGATATGACATTTTGTTGTTAATAATTAAGTAATTATGTATTCCAGATTGCTGAAGAGGCGAGCCCGCGTAAATGTAATAACAGATTTAACAACTTGAAAATTGTACTCATCGAAATGCACTACGCGGCTAGCTGGTAATAATATATTAAGTTAGGGTGTAAGAATATCCTATATGGATATATGAACGCTTATGTTAAATAATAAAATTTCAGTTTAAAAATCAACTGGAGATTGACGAAGACACTGGTCAAGGGAGCCTTTACTAAAACAACAATTATTTATTGGTGCGGAAATGAAAGAACCGGTCCAAGTTTACAGAAGAGGTAACTATACTTCAAAATTTCAAAGAGAAGAACAGGCTCCTGTAATTACGTTGCTGTGATTTTGAGCAAAACAAACTTAGGACAATGCACGATCTGTCGAAGAACGCGTCATAAATTTGTAACAAGAACACTGAAGATGAAGAAGAGAATAATCATGCATTTCTAATCTATAAAAGATGAAAACGCATGTGATGTATTCAACAGTGGCCCTGCGCTGCTATATATACAGTAGTTAAAAGCTTGGCTGGAGCCTACCGTCAATGCAGTGAAGTACCTGAAAGCCATTTCTAAGTTCATTTCGCCTGGTGTTTGGAGTATGTGCTGCAAAATTGCAACTCCTGATGAATTATTTAGTTATGTTTTTCTTGAAAATATTAGAAATATGGTAATATTAAGAATGCGTAGTCATGGCACCCTTTGTTTTTCGCGCTGAAACCTTGTTCAAACCTTTCGAGTTGTCGCAGGGCTACCGAGAACCTTCCTAGAATTTCTAGATAGGCCACTGATTTTCAACACTGATAGCCATCAAGTCGTTTCGATCTGGAAGGGGGTCTTTTTGTACACAAAACAGAATCCTTTGTCACACAAAAAATCGCCAACCTAAGCAACAGGAATTTAAAACAAAAAATGGGCTATCAGTTTTTGATAATGTAGTTACTTAGTTTTATTAACTTTTTCCTAATGGTTATTTGCAAACAAAATGAAACCTAAAGTTTCATTCAAGTTATTTGTTTGATTACTTGGAGCGTTATAGCCTATTATATGTGCACAGCATATATTATCTCTTTCTCAATTTTGTATAAGTGGTATTTGATTTTTTTTCGTGCTTTTTTTTACAGTAAAAACTCTTGTTAGCCTAAATCGTTGCCTCATTTTTTTACAAATGCCCTGGATATACGCACGATTGGTTACAATACTATTTTCCTTTTTCACGTTGTCCTCATGGAAATTAAACTTTCCTTTGCAGATCAGACCCAACGATTCCATGGACTTATAATGTATTCAGTAAGAAAGAAAGTTCCCTTGCTTTCTACCGAAGAAAAGCACCTTACTTTCATCCCTGTGGCAATAAGTAATTACATTATGTATTTTTTGCCATTGTTCAGGACTTTCTTTCATTCTCCCATCAAACTTGATCTTGTAGTCTTGCCAGAGGGTAGTGAGTTTCGTCTTGAAAATGTTTTTTAACCACGTTTAGAGTTGTTGATTCGTATCGAAAACGAAGCCACGAGGGCAACTGCCCGGTGAACAGGAAAGGTAAATATGGGTTGGCGCAATATCCGAAAAGTGTGAAGGGGGCAGCAAAGCCTTTCATTCACGGTCCACAAAACAGTTTTGACGATGTTTGCCGTGTGTGGCCGCACGTTGTCATGATGCAGGATGGCCTGAACTCGTTCACCGGGTGTTTTTTCTCTTGGAAAGTCTAGTTGACGAAGTGCAGCCGAGCCAAATAAACGTCTCGATCAACTGTTTGGTTTGTAGGAAGCAATTACCAGTAAATGAGTT